AAATCCATTCACACAAGTTTGTTTACATTCCATGTAGTGTGTAAGGCTGAAATGTTTTCAAACGCAGGCATGGTGCTTGCAATGTCATTTTCAACAAAACTTTGAACGAAAAAAAAAATGTTTTATAAAGATTTTCAAGGTTCAAGCAGGTTTTCAGAGAAGGTGGAGTATAAGGTGGTTTACCACAGGCTGATGCCATCAAGAAACGCCATCAGAAATAAATGCCGGCAAAGTAAAATTATGCAAATTTTGAAATCGGCAACATGTCAAATTTAACCACCAGTCGGCGCGATGCCAATTGTTGCAAAAAAGATTGAATTACATTTTACGGCTACAAAAAAATCGAAAATGCATTCTTTTTACTCTTCTTATAGGCAGTTGTAGTTATCTTCCAACATTACAGAGAAGAAAGGGTTTACAGCAAAAGCTTTCACTTCGTTATTCATTAAAATTGGAAGGTATTTTTGGTGCAGTCTGTTGTTGTAATCACTCATGCATGACACCTCAGATGTGTAGCAAACGAAGTTGCTCTCCTCTGAATGTCATGTACTATTTATTAATAAAGCAAAAATATATCACTAATATGATCTGAATTCTTTTAATCCCAATGCAGGACTGATATTTGAAAATATAAAGCAGACCAAAGCATTTTTTACCTTGTGGTCTCAAATAGCTAGCCGTTGCTAATAAAATTATTTAATATACATATTGTGTTTACACCAAACAAAGCGTGTTTTACGGTACTCACGATAAAAACCTGTGGCAACCGTATGGTGGAATTCGGTCCCAGAGTTATGAATGTTCACTGTGACAATACTGTGGTGTACTTCCCTGGCAAACTGAAGAATTATTTTTCTCGTCACTCACGCAACTCGTAGAGCAAGATCAAGAGCAAAGGATTACGTAAGAGAAATATTTGGCACTGCAACGCGACAACCCAAATAACAGCGCAGCTGCGAGGGACACTAGAAAAGAACGGCTAAGAAAACTTAACCCGTTGGAAACGTGAAAAACAGTAAGATCTCTGTTGAAGGTCAGGAAAGTTCTGATTTTCCAGCTTCCAAATAAAATTGAATCTTTCAGATATATACTTATGACGATTTGATCCGCTGAAATTTGATACAAAACATGCACTGAAAATTATGATGTTTTGATTGTTGTGCTTTAAACTGGTGCAGTGTAAAGTGTTTCTTTTCCAGCATTTCTCTCTCAATGGTCTTGGAAATGAACTTTTGTAGTAACTGCTGTTTTGTCAAAATATTTATGAAGC